TATAAATTAATATTTTATATCCAATTTATAAACTTAAATGTAAAAAGACCAAGACGCTCATGATTTAAAAAAAAACACATCCCACCTATCCCTTTAATCCATCTCCTTCCCATCATTGAAAGTATTGACAAATCATCTTCTTCCAACCCTTTTGATACCAAAAAACAAATCCAACCTGAAAATCAAAGAAAAAATCAAAGTCCAGACTCCAGATCTTGTTTCGTGAGTGGTGAAGGTAGACTTGAATAAGGTCCAAACTAAAGAAGGTTGACAGAGATGAAGAAGATGGTGGGAAGGCAAAGGAAGGAGGAAGGGCTGAGACTAATAAAGGAGACACCGACAATGGTGTGATCTCAATGTTATTAAGTTGAGGGAGATTGGCAAGGTGCAAGAAGATGGTATAATGTCGATGTTGTCTTCAAAGGTGGAGGAAGGTTAGCAAAGGTGATGTCAGCGACAATAATAATGTGATGGGTTCATCAATAGGGATAGGAGGAGATGAAAAAAGAGGGAGGAGGGAGGAGGCAGACATGTAAATGGGAGGGGTATTGTCAGACAAATGAGGTGGAAATAGGGATTACATAGGTCCAATAAGCAATCCCCATTACATTATTTGAAGTGATTTTCATTACATGATGTAATCCTCTTTACCTTACTTTGGACTTACTAAACAATGAGAATGTTGGGTTGTATCAAGATTACAAGGAATGGCCTTACAATGCATCAAACCAAATGAGCTATCACTTCTCGTATATGCTCTTGGCATTCAACGTTCTTAGCATCTTCGCCATTAGGCATCACTACATTAGCAACTTCTTCAATCCCTATTGGAAATGAAGAAAGAAGAAGAATAAAATGAAGGAAGAAGGAAGAAGATGAAGAGTTAGACCTGTGAAGACCAATGTGTAAAAGAAAGTTTAAACGGTGATTTGATTGATGTTGTAATGACCTTAAATTTAAAATTAAATAAATTTACTTCCAATTGATAATTAATTAATTAATTAATTTTAATTTATGATAAATAAAGAGTAGTGGCTTAATGGGGTTTATACTGGTTATATATATGGAGGTTTAGAGTTCGAACCTTACTTTAGTCAAATATTAGTTTTATTTTTATTTATATGGAAAGTACTAAAGAGCCTTGCTTTTTATTATAGAAATATTATAATAATAAAAATTGATAGGGTCTTCTTTTGAAATTTTCCCAACAAGCTTTGGGTCTTGTTTTATAGATTTCCCTATGAGCTTATTTGGTTCTTCTTAGTCGGTGCTGCGGGTAGAAGAGAGAGGGAGAGCTCACATTTTTTTCTTATTTTTTCCTCTCCTTTTCTTGATCATGTTCTGGAATAAGAGAAGAGAAGTCTGGAAACTCTACCCATTTCTCCTATCTTCTCCTTCTCCCCCACCATCTCTAACTGCTTGTGGTGTGTAAGAGAGAGAGTTCCAACCATGTTATATGGGCTTCGAGTCACCACCTCTCCTCCTCCTCTTTCTTTGATCCTGTTTTAAGTTGCAGAGAGCGCCAAAGATCGAAACTCTAGATTTTTGGCTATGTGCTCTCTAACTTTGCCTTTCTTTATGCTAATATACCTTTGCCGCTGGAGAAGTAGGAGCTCATCGCCCCTATGCAATGCTTAAGTCTTCAGTCATGCTCCCCATTTCTGTCTTCCTTGTTTCCTACCCTATCTTGGCCATTCATGTTCTCGTTCGTGTCATTGATGGGTGTAAGAAATCAAGTCACTGGAGTTGGTGGTGCTGATTGCGAGATCTTTTTCTTCTTGGTCTAGTAGTTGATTTCATTTCCTTCCTCCCTTATGCATCGTGCCAGATGATTCCCTTGTTCAACGTATAAGCTTCCTCTTCTTCTCTTTTGTGATGTTGGTGATTTAAGGTGAGAAGCTTCGACCATTAAACTCCCTTATTGTTGTGCATATATGATTGGGTTGGGATCGTGAATTGTTCTCCATTTTTCTACTGTATATAAGTAATGTGATGTTGGAAATTTGATTTCCTTTGAGTAATTAATTTGATTTTTGTTGAACTAAAATTTAGAAGGAAGGCTGAATTATTCCAAATATAAATATTATACTACTTGGGGTAATGAAATTTGTAGAAAAGGAAGTGGGGTCTTGGTTGGAGAATTCATGCATGAAAGATGTTTGATAAAATACCCATTGGTAGAGTTTGTTTGATTTTGTATCTAATAATGGTGGTTTCTCAAGGAGGATGATTGGCTTAGACATTAGTATTTGTATATCTCAATTAGGTTTTGACAAGGGGTGCATTTAAGAAGCTATCAAAATCTTATTTGAGTTTTAAATTATTGAGAGTTAAATGGTTGATGATTTATGAAGTATATTATCATTTTAGAAATCATACTTGGATGCTTAGAAATTGTTAGGCAAGAGAATTAAAGGATGCAAGTTTTATTAAATGGTTTGGAGTGTCACTTATTAAGTGTTTAGTAGAAATCTAAGAAGAAAACCTTAGGTGTGAATTTTATTCCTAAACTTCAAAAAATTATTATTTATTATTATTATTATTATTAATTCTAGTTGAGTAGAGTCTCTTAAAAGGAGACTTGTTGATTCAAAAGCAAAGTTCATTAAGATTTTATTATATATTATAGGGTAATCATAAGCAGGGTAACTCGATTGGAGTTGAAAAAAGTGAGTTTTGAGGTTGAAAGTGCTACAGATAAGTGGATAGTATACTAACTAAACTATCAATTATTTTCCTTATTGAAATTTTATATTTTTTATATAAATTATTCTAATACAAGTAAGTTGATTAGTGAATACTTTGTTAATTAAATTTCTTCATTTTTAAGTTATAAGACAATGGTGAAGAATATTTACATTATGGCATATGAGTGTTTTACTCTTATGAGATATACTTTTAAGATTGATAAAAGTTATTTTCACCAGCATTGGCAATTTTTGATCATTTAATAAATGCAAGTTTGAGTATTGGATATGAAATTTTATTTTGAAAAGTTTTAGTGCCTAAGAAGAACTATTCATGTGAGTCTGATTTTAAGAATAGAAATTATATTTTAATAGTTGTGATTTTTTTTCATGTTTGAAAATGGATTTGGAGGGAATTTTATACAGAATACTAGTTGTTAATGGCAATTCCGTTAGCCCTTGACATGCCATGGTTATGACTAGCTAGTTTGACTTTTATGAGCATCGTACTCATGTTTGTTACTTGTAGGTTTCATACTTGCGTTTGATTTCATGGTTTCGAGACGTGTTTGGTTAGCATTATTCTCGTGGACTGTGTGTCCACATTTGTTTCATAGCTCAGGCTACATTTAATTATTTATCCTCATAGACTGTGTGTATACGTTTGTTTTTGTGGCATAAATTACGTTTGGTTATTTACCTTCGTGGACTGTATATCTATGTTTGTGAATTGTTCTGATAAATCCCCAAAATATGAATTTTTAGTTAACTGGTGATCTTATATTTAATGGTTTTCAATTAGTTAATATTGTTATTCTTATTTGTTATTTATTCATTTTAAATTGTCAAGATCAAATGTTAAAACTACTTTATTATTATAGATTTAAATGTTCTTGTTATTAAAGTTATATATAAAATTTTTATTTCAAGTTTACAAATTTGTTATATGAAATTGCTTTCTCATTTATGTTATATATAACTATTGTTTTATCTATTTTGGTTCTACAAAAAAGTTATAGTTGAAACGTTATTCACTAAAAAGTTATTTTAATCTCAAACTCAATAGCTGATACTGATCATCGATGGGTTTATTATTGACTAAAAGTATAGGAGACTGTAGATTTAAACCTTCTCTTGATGTAAAACTTTAATTATGACATTGTATTTTTGTAAGTTATATTCTAAGTGCTTCACATAAGCTATAGTTAGGGTCCTCATCCTTACTATTTATATTTTGTTATTTGTTGGTGGAAAGAGAGTTCCTTATTATTACCATTGTTTTACAAAATATTTGTAGATTGTTTTTGGGATATTTTATTTTAAGATGAGATCCTATTGAAATTTTTACAAGAATATTGAATCTTTTGTTTGTATGGTATATATTGAAGATGACTTAATTTATTATCAAATGTCTTCATAGTTTAAAAATTAGATTTTTATTGAGTAAACACTTTGGGGATATGTATATTATCCTTATATTCTTTACCAAGCATATCCTATTTTCAAGGTGTGACAGATGTGATATAAGTTTGTTACATTTTTTTTTCACCAATAACTCTGCTACACATTGAAAAGAGAAAAAGATGATAGCCTAGGCTACAAATAGATAAGTGCATGTCTAAGTAAAATTAATCATGTATGCATTATTTTTTAACAAAATATTAATTATTTATTGTATAATGAAAAAATATATTATTTTATTATAACTCATTTGACTCTAGTTTGACCCTTAATTTGATCTTAGTTGAACATCTAACCCTTAGCCCTTGATCTTTGCAGGTTTAATGATGTCTGAAATTTACTTGAATTTTGAAACAATAGCATAGGTCCCTCATTTTTTAAAATTTAAAATTAACCTCCATAATTTTTTATTTTTTAATACAAACTTCACTTTTATTATTTTTTAGTTATCTTATTAATAAAAGTTATTATATATCATATTAAAAAAGGACACTTAACAATTCACGTGGCATCTGATAAAAAATAATAATAACTTTATAAAAATTTTATTCATATTTTATTATTATTATTAATTTATATAAAATGCCTCATAAGATATTACGTGTATTTTTTTAATATAATATAATAATTTTTATTAGTAAGACAACTAAAAATTAATTATAGCAGATTTTGTGATTAAAAAAATAAAAAAAATTAGAGAGATTAATTTTAAATTTTTAAAAATAAGTAGTTCTGTACATCAGTGTCAGAAGAATTGTGTATATTTTAATCTAAATCAAATTACTTTCTACTGTAATATTTGTTCCGTTCTGTTTTCGCTATCTAACGGAGGCCGGTGCAATACTGATCAACGTTTACGTGCGGTGGGATCAACGAAGGCTATTAAGAAGCCCGACTCTCGCCGTTATCTTCTTTGTTCTGGGTGTGCAGAGACCGACTCAGCGCAATAGCAATAGAAAGAGATCCTCTTCTTCCTCTATGCTCCCCTGATTTCTGTGCCACTTCATTCTTCCGTTTCTATGCTGAAGCGCCTGCCAATTCTGCCCTCCCAGTAAGTTCCCCCCCCTCTCTCCTCTGCCCCCTCATAAGATGCCACCGCCAAAGCATTCAATTTCACTTTTAGGGAAGCATTTCTGTTTTCCTCCTGCTCTGCTGCCTTAATTTCATCTTTTGATTTGGAAATCTCTTTTTTGTAAAGTATAATTTTCCAGCAGGTTTCATGATTTGGGATGGTTTTATTTGATTAATCGTCGATTATCGTCTGTGTGTTTTTCGTGGCGTTGAGATTCTGTATGGAGAACCACTTAAGTGGTGATATTGCTGCTACATATGTTTCAATGACTATATCCTCTTCTTTGAGATGTTTTCATCTTTGCCGTAATTTCATTCGCTGGTCCTCCTAATGACATATTTATTCCTGGTTTTTTTTGTTTGCTATTATTATTATTCTAATATCTGTTTAATTTTTAAGTTTTAATGTTCTTTTTCAATTTATGTTTCCCAGAACTTAAACTTGCTGCGACGAAGAAAGACTAGTCCTGGCATATTGATTCTTGAGTAATTTATGCGATGCTTGCTAACTTCGTGCAAGTGGTTGTGCAACTTGAATGAAGTCAGTTTTGAAGCATGAATGAGGAAGTGGTTGATGAGGTAACGACATTGGAGGTGGTTGAGGGTGCACAACATCAGAGTAAAGATGATGAGTATTCACTGAAGCCTGAAAGCTGCCCATTGCTCAAACCCCAAGAAATTCTGGCACCTTCTGAAGACTACTCCCAGATCCCACCAGAGGAATATGATGATATTCGGCAGGGTAAAAATGTTGTAGAAACTATCAGCCATACAACTACATCAGAACATCCATTTCTTAGCCATTTTTCGGTTGATGATGGTTTCATGGTTGAAGAATTGACGGTGAAAAGTTACAATGGCTCAAGTTTAGACATTGGTACATCAAACAGACGAGAGGGATTTTATAATAGGCAGAACCAATGGGGGCATCTTTTTCAGCTAACTGGTGATTCAGGAGCTGGAAATTCACTAAGTCATACTGCGTACAGAAATAATGTTCTGGCTACTTCTAATGCCTGGGAGGACAATGAGTCTTCATCTTTCCAAGAATTATTAGCTAAAAAATCGCTCAGTGGTGATCAGAGCAAAGTCATAGAACACTTGATGACAGATGAAAACAAAGGGGGTGCAGGTGATGTTCATGGAGGAATACGAACAAAAATTATCTCCAGGTCAGGGTTTTCTGAGTATTTTGTTAAGCATACATTGAAGGGTAAGGGTATCATATGTAAAGGTCCATCTTCTGACTGCTTCCATGTTGACTCTAGAGATCTGAATCAGATGAAAGTTGGCATTCGTACTACTCAGTTGGATTCTAATGGATCATTGAGCATTGGTTCCAAAACTGAGAAGTCTTCTTATAGTTCTGCTGTGCCAAGATCTGATGGGTCTGACTGCAATGGTGTGACTCTAAGAGAGTGGTTGAAAGCTGGGCACCAAAATGTTAGAAAAGCTGAGCGGTTGCATATATTTAGAAACATTGTTGGTCTGGTTGAAAGTGCTCATTCTCAGGGAGTAGCATTGCTTAGCCTGCAGCCATCTTATTTCAAAATACTCCCATCAAACCAGGTCATGTATCTTGGCTTACCTATTCTCAAGCAGATATCTGAAAGTGTTGTCAATTCTGAAATTCTTCCCTCTGAGGATTCTTTCGATAGAAAAAGGGAATCAGAGCAGGTATTATACCCGTCTCTTGATATAAGGTCAAAGAAACAAAAATTTGATGAGAATGTGACAGTTGCTGGGAATTGGAGTCAGTTCTCTCCAAGATCTGACAAGTATTTTCGAAGTGCTTGTGATAGTAAAATCAATGCAGTTGGACCACAGAGAATCTCTAGCATCCCTTGTATGTCTAAGGCAGGCCAATTGCAGTTGTCTTTTGTGAGTGAAAGATTGGAAAATGCATGGTATGCAAGCCCTGAGGGAAGCTGCACTAGATCATCAAATATCTACTGCTTGGGTGTTCTTCTTTTTGAGGTGTGTAAAGAAGTTGGTGAATGTCCCTCTTTCATAAGTCTGATGCAATTTGCTTGTGTTCTTTTATGATGTTGATTCTTTTAAATTGAGCCTCATTTCCCAATGAGAATTTTTTTGGTGAGAGAGAGAGAGAGAGAGAGAGAGAGAGAGAGAGTTGATGTTTTGCTTTAGTGGTGTTTCTAGAAAAACAAAATGATAAAGCCAGCTTCCACACATAGATAAGTTGCTTTTAGCATCACTCATTTCTATGTGGGTGGAGCTCCCTGAGCAATCAATCATTAGATCTGTAACTTAGTTAATGTGACAAGCTTCAAAATGAGAAAAAGGTAACACGCTTAAAAACCTAATTCGATTAGGCTAAGATTTCTTGATATGTGTGGCTGAAAGAATAAGAAGAGATCATGAGAGAATGGAAGGACCAATTTGAACTATAATAATGTGTCCTAGGGTGAGGTGTCCGTAGCATCATTAAGGGATACTTGAAGCATTGGTGGAGAGAGAAAGACATTAGGCTATTTGAGTTGGCGTGTGGAGTCAAAATGGAAGAAAAAAGTTAATCAAACTCATGGAGAGGCTCTAGCCTCTCAAAAGACGGAGAGTCATTTTCATTTTATTCTCTCTCATTTTTTCCTTTTGCACTTAATCAATTCTACCTTTTTGTTGGATGTGGTTATTCTGCTTAATCCTAAGTTATAAATAGAGTTTTCCGTCAGTTTTCTTATTAGAGTAGTACATTCATGACGGGTTGTCAACACAAGAGCAGAGCAAATAGCGGAAGCATTGAAAATAGAATTTCAAGAAATGAAGAGATGTCACTGATTATGAAAGTGATGATGGAGCCTTGTGAGAATGTGATGGAAATGTAGAGCTTGTGTCATAGCATCGTGAAGGGGAATGAAATTGTAAAAGGCCATAGTCTAATGAAGGAGCAAATATTTCATTTGTGGAAAAGGACTGGAACAAATACAAATGAGTTGAACTACCCTTGTTTTCTTGAGAAGACTTGATTGGGTGGCTATTTGGTAGTGAACAGTACTTTTCCCTAAATAATGTGAATAAGGAGAGATTGTGTGGTATTTTGGAAGAAAATGTTTCTCATGTCATGAACATTGAGATACAATTGTCTGTATATACATGAAGGGAAAAGACAATAGAGTAATGTCTAATAAAACCTAATAACTACTAATAAATGCTGTACAATAGTGATGCCTATTTACACAATATTCCCACACTCCTCTTCAAATTGGATTTTTAGATGCTAATCATGTCCAACTTGCTTATACAATTTTCAAAGGTAGGTTTAAGCAACCCCTTTATTTATACATTTGCAGCTTGAAGATTGGTAGGCAGATATGTCAAACATATGATTCCTTCTTCTACTTTTTCTATGACAAAACACCTATCCATATCCGCATGTTCAGATCTTTCATGCTGTGTGGGATTAAGGCCATGCTTATAGCAGCCTTGCTATCACAATAGAGCTTTAGAGGTAAATCCACTCTGACTTGTATCTCATTCAAGACTTGTCTCAACCACAACTCTTCCATTATCCTTCAAGCCAATGCCCTTAACTAAGACTCGGCATTGTTCTTAGACACAACTCGTTGGTTGACTTTTCTAGGTAACTTGATTTCCCCATACAAAGGAGCGATAACTAGAAGTTGATTTTCGGTTAGGATATGTTCCTCCCCAATTTGCTTTTGTGTACACCTCTATAGTTCTTCGTTACTGTTTTTGGAAGAATAATCCTCTAGCAGGAGTACCTTTCATGCGCCTCAAAATTATGTAAGCTACTTCCATATGCTTCTTCTTTGGCTCACTCATGTATTGGCTGGCTACACTCATTGCAAAAGCTATATCAGGTCTTGTATGAGAGAGATAAATTAGTTTCCCAACAAGTTTCTGATAACTTTCTTCATGAACAACCTCTTGGAACCAAATCTGAAATGTTGTCAAACTCATGGAACTAGATTTGGGATGCCATCAACTATCTCAAGCTGAATTGCTATCAATCTTGCGACAAAAAATAAGTGATTTGTTGTCAATTGTACTGAATGACAAATATGGTTCCTCTCCTACACCTTATTTATGGACAAGTTTTTTGTCGCGATGGTGTCATGTGCATTGTCTTGTTCTCACTTTTGCTAGGTGCATTTGAAGCTCTACCGTTGTTAAAGGTACTCTGGCGACAAAGATATGATGAAGATGTAGATTGGGAGGGTGGGTATTGCTGTTAATGAAGTGATAATTGTTTTTGAGGAGCTAACAAATTTCTTACATTTCTCTGCCATTGTTTTTGAGGAGCTATTAAGAATGCCATCGACCTTATATTTTGGGAGTAAAGACCCATTTATAGCTAACAAATTTCTTGCCTCTTGGCCTTTCCATAATCTCTCATGTTCCAATCTTCTCTAAAGCTTTTATTTCCTCCATAACTGCATTTTTTCATTTTGGTGTTTCTAGTGCCTCTTGGATGTTGTTGGGAATGCCAACTTTATCTAAGTTAGTGATAAAGGCCCATTCTTTTGGAGAGCGAGCCTTAGAGGACATATGTTTCTAGATTGGATGCAAAGTACAAGATTGATGTTGTTTCCTGAGAGCAATTGGTTGATCAAGATCAGTTGATTCATTTTCTTGATCTGGATCATCTAAGTCCTTAAATGGGTTGGCCTTTGGCAGTTTAGGAACAACACGAGGTTTTAAAGCACCTAATACTTCAACTTCAGGAGTTACCTGTGGAGTTGACTCTCTTGGTGCTTTAGGTATCAATTACTCACTATTTTTTATTTCTGTTTTTGAGTGTAAACAAACAACTCTCCCTTTTGTGGTCTTTCTACATCTCCCCCTTTTTTCTTGTTTTTCTCAGTTTCTGGCATAAGAGAATAGATTGATGATGGGAGAGATCAAGCATTGGTGTTGGAGCAAACACGGGTGATGGTGAACTAGGATCGAGCATATTTGAAAAAGATTCAGGTGATAGAGGCAAGTTTGAAGTGGGATTTTTCTTAGGTTCCTCACTCCCTAAAGTCTAAAATTTGCCCAAACTCCTCATGATTTGAAGGCTTGGAATAGGGGGGTATCTTTGAAAAACGTCACATTAAGGCTCATAAAGAGGCATTTAAAGAGAAGATCATAACATTTGTACCCTTTTTATGCAGGTGAATATCTTGAAAAGAGACATTTAATAGCATGAGGTTTAAGTTTAGGACTTTGGTGAAGGTAGACAAAGGATTTACAACCAAAAATACAATGTGGAAGATTGGTTTCAACATGAGATGCAGTATGCACTGTAATTTTTTAAGTGGTGGTTCGAAGGACAAAACTCGACTCAACATCCTATTTATAAGATATGTCAAAATGAGAATTGTTATCGGCTCGTCTCACCTTTAGAGTATGTATATTTTTTTGGCTCAGCTATAACATTTTGTTGGGGGGCATGAACAGCCCAAAAGGTTGATTACAATATCTAGTGCCATTGTTAGTGTATAAAGTTTGAATACTGGATTGGAATTGGTTTTTAATCATGGTATAAAAGGAAGGGAACACAGACAAAACTTTAGACTTCTCCTTTAAAATATAAACCTAGCAGAGACGGGTATGGTCATCTATAAAAGTAATGAACCAAATATTATTGATGTGGTTAGCACCATGGGATGGCCCCACAAGTCATTGTGTAGGTAGTATTAGTGAATTTTAGTGACGGTAATGAGCTTGTTAAATGTCATTGAACTTCACAAATTTATTTTCAAATTTATTCTACTACTAGATTATATGTTATGGCTAGATTTCACTAATATTTTGGTGGGAGAATAAATTTGAAAATGATCATTGAAAGTAATGAAAATTAAGGTGATCCAACCTCTTATGCCATAACATATAATCATTAGCTTTTGAGATAGATGCAGAATTACCTACAACAGGTTACTGAGTTACTCACATGAGTGACTTTTAAATAGTAAAGCCCCTCGTACTCTTTAGCACTACTAATTGTCACACTAAATGATCAATCTTGAAATACATAGTGGGATGGGAGATATTTAGCAAAACAATTTGATTGCTTGGTCAATTGACTAATCGAAAGTAAAATGCAATTAGGTTTAGGCATATGAAGTACAGATTCCAAAACTATAGAATCTAAGATATGAATACTCTTTTTTGCCGCTGTAGGTGCTAAGGAACCATCTACAATCTTCACTTTAACATTCCTAGCTCATGAGGTGTAAGCAAGTGGTAAACAATAGATGACGAGAAGCCATATGGTCAAATGCTCCCAAATCAACAATCTGCACCATCACATTTTGAGATGTCTTTAAAGCCTGAAGAAAAGTTCTTTGCTTTGCCACTGATGCTGTAGGCCCAAGTCTGGTCATATTTGTCACGATGCTTTGGAGCATCCATATAGCTACTCCTAGGGCTTCACATGATAAAAACTCTTATAATAGATAACAATTAGTAGTCACATCCCCATTGTACTCTAGAAACCTTTGCACATATAGATTGACAGGTTGCGAGGAAAGAGCACCCAGACTTGAGAGATGATGACATCTTGCTGGAAATGTTGTGGTGTTGTTGGAGAGAGGAGTTACGTTCAGGCACTCCCATGCATAACTTGAAGGTCTATCACAAGTACATGCTGGCATTTGCCACTCCATCTGGGGTAAATCATCCAATGTAAACCTGCAACTCCTTTGTGTGCCACTAGGAAATTTGTTTCCATTGAAAACATGTTGTGAGATGTATGTTCTACCAGTTAGCATATCAAGACATTTGTACCTTTTACGTTGCTGGCTATAACCAAGATATGCAAGGCTTAGAATGATAATCAAGCTTGGGGGAATCATTTGCACTGAGTCGAAAGAACACTTATGACCAAACACCCCCAAAGTAGAATAATCAGGTGGCTTGTGATAAAGTTTCTCATGTGGATGAAGACCAACCATTGAAGTTGGCAGCATTTTAATGAGAAAAATGCTGCTGTAAAAGCATCAGGCCGATTCTCATTAAAAACAGCCTCATGCCAATGATTAAGTGAGAGAGTTTGTGCTTATAAAGCAAAAGCCCTATGCTTCTGTCTTCTCTTTACCAAACCATTATATGTAAGATGCGTGTAGGCATGGAAACTGTCTAAATTCTTCACCAGAAGTAATTTGAACAGCCTTAATTTTGGCACTAAGCTGCAGCTCAACACAAGTGGTAAAATTTCTTTTCTTTTATCTTTTCAGATGAAACTAATGGTAAAATTTCTGAAGACTGATAAAGCTGTGAGGAAGTCCAGAAAATTGACCAATGGACAAGTGGACATATTAATCGAATAGAAGAGATGGCCTCAATTTACTTGGGAGGATTATGATGTCATTAAACTACAATTTCCGGATTTCCACCTTGAGGACAAGATGATGTTTTCTGGAGAGGGTATTGATGTGCCCAATTCCATTTGGACCAGCCCTATGAATTCGTAAAGCCAAAAGAACTAGAAGAGATCAAGAGAGGAAGGAGAGACCAGTGTGAATTCTGATGATGTGTCTCAGGATTAGGTGTCCTAGTCTAACCTTTTCTTTTATGCAAATAAATTTATTTAGAAGCATTACCCCAACCACAAAGATTACAAGCCTATATCATGTTGCCAACTAATATACTTACGATACTCCCTATTCCACTGTTGGATATGGCTACAATGAGGAATTCCTATCTCACTTGTGACAAATTCACTTCCAACATGAATCACATCCTTTCTTAGTTCAAGTTCCATTATGTCACGCTTTCCTAGCCTAACTAACTCAGCATGGAGTACGTGAAGGTTTTGCAGAAAGAGAAACCTGTTGTAGTAGTATTTGAACTGGAGTTTTGAGTGGAGACGGAAGAAGAAACTTAATTAGAACTGTATGGACAGACAGTAGCCTCTCAAGAGCTAGGAAGCCTTTGCCCCTCTTTTCTTCATTTGTTTCTTACTGTATTTGATCAATACTTGCTTTTCTTTTTTGGGTAGATTGTTTGGCTTAATCTTAAGTAATGCAGAGGTTTTCATTATACTCACACCACCCTGTTGACAGAATCAACAGCAATGGGTTGTTTGGCATAATCCCATATGTTTTCTCTGTTAATGTTTGACTTGACCACCAACCATCATTCATATTATTTCGTTTTTTGGTTGCTTCCAAATCAATAAATTGCGGTGGATGCTGGACTTATCCCTTACTGATATCTGTTGCCTTTGGCACTTTATCTTTTAAGGTTTTTCTTTCATATTTAACTCCGCCTATGTTTATAGCCGGTCCCAAGCCCGGGTAAAGGAGGAGGGTTGTGTTAGGCCATCAACAGCCAATGTAAAAATTTGTTGAATCTATCATGAACATGGACAATAGACGTTATAATGTTAATGCTAGGTCGTTGCCCGTAAGTAACGCGCTGCATGGCTCGAGTACAGTGATAAGTGAGTTAGAGCCGCTGCATCGGCGCCCGGATGTAGTGTTAAATGAGCAAGGGCTACCGCGTCATTCTGGACGCACGCGGCTAAAGAAGTTAGTCCATAAGAGCAAAATTAGATTTGGTACTTGGAATGTTGGGACATTAAATTGTAAATCTGTAGAGGTTGTAGGGGTTATGATTCAAAGGAAAATCAATATCCTTTGCTTGCAAGAAACAAAATGGTGTGGAGAAGAAGCTAAGGATATTCAAGGTTTCAAACTTTGGTATACAGGAAAAGTAAGTGCACGCAATGGAGTAGGCATCATTATAGATAAGGAGTGGAAGAAGAACGTTGTAGAAGTTAGCAGAATTGGAGACAGAATTATTTCTTTAAAATTGATAATTGGACGTGAGACTGTTAATATTGTTAGCGCTTATGCGCCGCAAGTCGGGACAGAAGCCAGTCTTAAGGAATTATTTTGGGAGGATCTGGAGGGGTTGATTCGACACATACCACAGAGTGAAAAGATTTTTATTGGAGGAGACTTTAATGGGCATGTCGGGAGGGAAGCTGGTCAGTATGCGAGGGTGCATGGTGGTTTTGGTTTTGGAGAGCTAAACAATGAAGGGCAAACTCTTCTTGATTTCTCATTGGCGTATGATTTTAAGATTGCCAACACTTGTTTCAAGAAGAGAGATGAGCATCTCATCACCTACAAAAGTGGAGCCTCAAGGTCGCAGATTGATTTTCTTTTGGTTAGGAACACAGATAGAAAACTTTGTAAAAATTGTAAGGTGATCCCTGGAGATGCTGTAACGACACAACATAGGGTCCTAGTCCTTGATGTGTGTATTATGAGTAAAATCCAAAAACGTCGACAAGTAGTAACACCAAGGATTAGGTGGTGGCAATTAAAAGGTGAGAAGCAAGATATTTTCAAGCGAAATCTTTTGGATAAAGGAATTTGGGATTCTCAGGGAAGTGCTAACATCATATGGGAGGATATGGCTAAAAAGATACGGGAGGTTGCAAAAGTAGTTTTGGGAGAATCGAAAGGTCCTGGTCCGAGAGATAAGGAGTCTTGGTGGTGGAATAATAGTGTACAGGACAAAATCAAGTATAAGAAGAACTGTTTTAAAGCCATACATTTGTGTAACAATGAGGAAAATTGGGAGAGGTACCGTATGGCTAAGAAGGAAACTAAGAGAGCTGTGGGTGAAGCTCGTTCTAAAGCTTTTGAAGAATTTTATAAGAACCTTGAGACGAAGGAAGGAGAGCAAAATATTTATAAGATTGCCAAGAGTAGGGAAAGAAAATCAAGAGATCTAAAAGGTAAGGTGTATTAAGGATGAAGAGGGAAGAATTTTAGTTACAGATGATGAAATTAAAAATAGATGGGAGACTTATTTTTCTAAACTTTTCAATGATGGAGAGGATTCATCTAGTAACTTGGAGGATTTAGTAACTGGTGAAGGAGAACAAAATTTGTCATTCTATCGAAAAATACGTGATAAGGAGGTAAAGGAAGCTCTTAAGAAAATGGCAAATGGTAGAGCTAACGGACCTGATTGTATATCTATCGAAGCGTGGAAATGTTTAGGTGAAGAAGGGGTGAGATGGTTAACTAAGTTATTTAATGTGATTTTACGGTCCAAGAAAATGCCTGATGAGTGGAGGAGAAGTACATTAATTCCTATTTATAAAAATAAAGGAGATATTCAGAATTGTACTAACTATAGAGGGATTAAACTCATGAGCCACACAATGAAATTGTGGGAGAAAGTAATTGAGCACAGGTTGAGATTGGAGACAAGTATTTCTAGAATCAATTTGGTTTTATGCCAGGTAGATCAACTACAGAGGCGATTTATCTACTAAGGGGATTAATGGAAAAGTATCGTTGTAAAGATAAAGATCTACACATGGTTTTTATTGATTTGGAAAAAGCTTATGACCGTATACCAAGAGAAGTGCTTTGGAAAGCGTTGGAAAAAAAGGGAGTACGGATTGCTTATATTAAAGCCATACAAGATATGTATGAGGGGGTAAAAACTAGTATAAGAACGCCTAGTGGTCAAACAAAGGATTTTCCTATAAAGATTGGGCTACATCAGGGATCATCTCTGAGTCCTTATTTGTTCAACTTGATTTTAAATGTTTTGACGGAACATATTCAAGAGGAAATCCCGAAATGTATGCTCTTCGCGGATGATATAGTTCTTATAGCAGAGACAAGAGAAGAGATTAATTGCAAACTTGAGTTATGGAGGAGGACATTGGAGTCGAAAGGTTTTCGTCTGAGTAGAAGTAAGACGGAATATTTATATTGTAAATTTGATAAAGGACTATTCGAAAATAATTTGGAAGTGAAATTGGGAGATCAAATTATACCTCAAGTGGAAAAGTTTAGATATTTGGGAGCCATTATCCAAAATGATGGCGAAATCAGTGGAGATATTTCACATAGAATTCAAGCTGGGTGGTTTAATTGGAGAAAAGCTAAAGGAGTTATTTGTGACCGTAAGGTGCCTAATAAACTTAAAGGAAAGTTTTATCGTACTGCTATCAGACCGGCAATGTTATATAGTAGTGAATGCTGGGCTCTAACGGGACAGCAAGAGCATAAAGTTGGAGTAGCAGAGATGAGAATGTTACGATGGATGTGCGGACATACACGTAAAGATAAAATTCGAAATGAGCACATACGTGAAAAAGTGAGGGTGGCACCTATTGAGGAAAAAATGGTAGAAAATCGGTTGAGATGGTTTGGGCATGTACAAAGAAGACCAAGGGAGGCACCAGTGAGAAGAGTGGAACATATAACTTTGAGTCCGATTAAGAGAGGTAGAGGAAGGCCTAAGAGAACACTCTTGGAAGTTGTTGAACGTGATCTCTTAATTAATAATATTTCTAAAAGCTTAATAAATGATAGAGCACAATGGCGTCTTGCAATCCATGTAGCCGACCCCACCTAGTGGGATAAAGGCTTGTTGTTGTTGTTGTTGTTTTGTTTTTCTTTCATATTTAATTGTTTTTTTACTTCCACGGCTGCCTCATTTCAAATGGAATGAAAATGATCATCTGAGTATTAATTTTTATCTCTTCTCAATATTTACGAGGTATAAGCAATAACTTGATTCATCATAAGCTTTGACTTGTGAAAGACCTTTAAATTACTATAATATATTTTATTGCACCATAATTCTCAATCAAGTCTTATTTGTAAATATTTTAATTGAACGTGATTTTATGAACTGATAAATTTTGATCATTTCTTCCAGTTACTTGGCCATTTTGAATCTGAAGGAGCGCATATTGCAGCAATGTCAGATCTTCAAGAGAGAATTCTTCCTCCAGGTTTCCTATCTGAAAATCCTAAGGAAGCTGGATTTTGTCTTCTATTGCTACATCCCAAACCATCAGCACGCCCAACAACAAGGTAATTCTGTTTCATAGTCAATAAAAGATTCTCTTATAGTCTTTTCTTTCTGTGTGTGTGTTTATCATTTTAATGCTTTCAGAATACTTTATTAATAAGATGTAAAAATACCTTTTTGAGTTGAATGATTTCTTGGTCCTTGAAAGATGATTCACTGCCTCAATATGATTCTCCATGGTCGTCTTGTTCCTTTTCATTCATTCAATGAGTATTCTGTCTTCAATATTATTGTCATGTTAAGGTCATTACCGTGCATTTACAAGATATGGGAGGTGTGCAACAACATGAAGCTAATATGGCCATCAAATGTCCAGTTGTCATTGAAATGTGCCATGATTGGGCACCGAAATGGTATATTGTGCTATGGCTTCTTCAAGTGGTATGATGCTTTGTCAGCTGGACACCTTATGACTGTATCAGCTTTATGTTAAGTGATGTCACACATCTTTCTAGGCTATCAGTTAACACGTTAACATGTGCAAGATATTGATGATATTGCTGGAATTAGACATTCAAATTTCGGAGAACCAAATTGAGATAAGGTGTACTGGGAGACATATTTCTCTTTCACTGGTGAATACATGTAGGAATGATTTGATTAAATATGCTGCTAGTCTCTTGGATTGTGGACATTAAATCTGACTTATACACAATTATGCTTGTAAGAACTTATTAATTTTGTTGCACAACAGGGAAATCCTACAATCTGAAGTGATAAATGGATTGCAGGAGGATTACAGTGAGGATATGTCATCAAGTATTGACCAAGAGAATGCAGAATCAGAGGTGTTGCTGCATTTCCTCGTTTCATTAAAAGAGCAGAAGCAGAATGATGCCTCCAAACTGGTTGAACAAATCAGGTGCTTGGAATCAGATATTGAAGAGGTAGAGAGGAGGCATAACTCAAGAATATCCTTGGTTTTGTCTAGCTCACAGCATAAATCAAGTTGTCTGAAAGAGAGTATGCCTCTTGACAAAGAACCTTTGCCTTTAGAAATGCTACCCTCAACTCCCTCAATCTCTAATGGAAATGAATTTAGATTGATGAAAAATATATGCCAACTTGAAAGTGCTTACTTTTCCATGAGATCCAAAATTCAGATTGCTGAAACAGGGTCTGCACCCCACTCAGACAAAGATTTACTTAGAAATCGTGAGAACTGCTCTGTGACTAGAAAAGATGAAGATAAACATGGAAACATAGATCCTGTGGGAACGTTTTTTGATGGTTTGTGCAAGTATGCCCGTTGTAGCAAGTTTGAAGTCCGGGGCATACTAAGAAATGCAGATTTTAACAGCCCTGCCAATGTAATCTGCTCTCTGAGCTTTGACCGGGATGAGGATTATTTTGCTGCTGCTGGAGTATCAAAGAAGATAAAGATATTTGAGTTTAATTCACTTTTCAATGACTCCGTTGATATTCATTATCCGGTAGTTGAGATGGCAAACAAATCAAAGCTCAGCTGTGTTTGCTGGAATAACTATATCAAGAACTATTTAGCCTCCGCAGACTATGACGGTGTGGTAAAGGTTTGTATATCTTGAATGAGACACCATTTGAATGATTTCTTTATCATTGGAAGACATTCTTTGGAGTTATTCATTTATTACATGGAATTGTTGTAGCTCTGACCAAAGTGCAGTAATTTTTTAGGGTCTAAGTTCACGCAATTGTTCACGTATTCATGGGCAATGCTGCTTCTGAATGGAAAAACACTAATAATTTTCTCAAGATTGATGATTCCCTTTTGGAACCTAACATGTCCACATTCTGATTGGTAGATTGTTAGTGCCTACCATGGGTTATTAATTTACCTGATTCTCTAAGTTTTACTTAAGATTATATCGACTATTCTTAGGCAAGATATCTATATCCTATATGGATAGATTGGTTTCTTATCTAAGATTATCTAGTTCTCTAGGAATTATTGAAACTGGTACTTGACTTGGATTTTGTGGTACGGATACTGGGATAAAAGCTGTTCATTTTGGATTTTTTTTTTTTTGAGTAAAAAGGTGTTCATTATGAATTTAATACACGGGTACTGCTTTAATAGATTAGTAAAACTAAAAAAACCCATAAACAGACAATTTTGAAATAACATTGCTTGGCATAATTTTTGAAATAACATTGCATGTGCTTGCACAAACAAAAGGATGTGTACATATAAGCAGAGTGATTACTGATAAGCATCTTTTTCATTTTTTGGTAAGGTGAGCTTCTTTGTTACTTGAACATTTCAAAATGCATGCTTGCACAGTATCTAACACTCTGCCCTGCTCAAAAAATAAATAAATAAAAAAGCTTTTGGAAGTGACTTTAATTTTTAATCTGAAATAAGTACAAAATCTCTTTGCAATAATTTGTATGTCATGATGGCATTACTTATCCCAACGGGTATTCAAATGCTTTTCAGCTATGGGATGCTAGTACGGGTCATGAGTTCTCTGGCTTCACTGAACATGGAAAGAGGGCTTGGTCTGTTGATTTTTCTCCAGTATGCCCTACAAAATTGGCCAGTGGAAGTGATGATTTTTCTGTCAAGTTGTGGAGCATCAGTGAGGTAAGCTTTCTCTTGCTGGCACGCTCAAAGGCACACTAGTAGCCTGCAGTGAGCCTGTGGATGTGCATATTTTGCTTGACAGAAAATCAGTATCAGTAATTAAAGAAACTGTGGTTGCTTCATGATCGGTTGTTTTCTCAGTTTTTATGATCCTGAGACACAAATATGAGAGCTAGAAAATTGATACTCTCTGTTATCCTGTCTTAAGCATCAAATTCTTGTTGTGCAAAAAGAGGATTGTTTTATCACTAATATATTGTACCCTAATCTCGTCATAAGCTGCAATGTTTATTAGTAGATTTAAGTCTGTTAGGTTTAATTTCATGTTTAGAGAATATCTGTATTGTGCAGATAGATTAGCGAGGCATGCTCATAGTACCCCTGATGTTCTGTGCTTCTTCAATCATCCTCCTGCCTGGTTGTCTAAGGAGGAGGAGGAAGGAAGAAGTATAATGCCCTGTAGAAGCACTATAATTTTTTTTTTTTTTGTAATTTTAGGGTTATGTTTTAATTCAAAAAAATATTATTACTTCTATTTTTTCCCCAATTTCAAGAATATATCAAAGGTGCTAAGTCTTTGTTTTCCTCGAAATATTGAGAAAACTGGCTGGATGAAGTATTTGAACTTTCTTAATCAAAACTTCGTAAACATGACAATGTGATGCGTGGTGAACTGGTCAAAAGATTGAACTGTCATAACATTATACACTGTATGGACAAATTTTGATCAAAGTGTCACTTCACTTGAGCTTAAGCTACTAACCAAAGAAAAACAAAAGGATGTTACAACTACTAGTTGATTTAGAACTGATACAATTCTGTTTTTTCCTCTGTTTTTTCGGGCAGAAAAACAGTTTAGGCACCATCAGGAATGATGCTAATGTCTGCTGTGTTCACTTTTCTCCTCATTCTTCTCATTTGCTGGCGTTTGGATCTGCAAATTACATTACTTACTGCTATGATCTTCGCAATCTTAGAAATCCTTGGTGTGTGTTAGTTGGCCATGATAAAGCCGTAAGCTATGTTAAATTCTTAGACTCTGAGACACTAGTCTCTGCATCTACTGATAATACATTAAAGATTTGGGATCTCAATAAAACCTCTTCTGAGGGTCCATCCACCGGTGCTTGCAGCTTAACGCTTTCAGGACATACTAATGAGAAGGTTTGGTTCTGAATTTATTATTTTGGCTAGAGTTTATGTTTGGAATCCAGTTTTTCTAGTGTTAGATGGAGCATCTGAATGCCATGCATAGCCTGAAGGATTAATATGTGTGTGTGTGTGTGTGTGTGTGTAAACAAATTCTATTATTTAATATTCACTACTATTTCAATGTTGTAACGATATACAATGCAATAAATATGCTTTTTTAACTCTTCATGTAGAAGGAAGATACTGCGCACTGTGTTATTGTTCCTGAAATAACATCAAGCAACAATTCTTTTAAACAATATTATCATTTTTTTCACTAACCTTGTATCTTCGATTTCTGTTTTTTTTTTTTTAAGTTTAAATATTCCCCAGCAGTGCAGGGGCAAGTTATTCTAGTTTATATTAATTTCATGAACTCTGGCTTGCCTTTGCCTGAAATTATTTTGTTCATGTCTGTGATGAACAATCCATAAAGGCTGCATCATACAAATTTGACTCGTTGTTATCAATCTGACCTATTTATGTTTTTTCATTTAAATCAGTTGGCTGAAATATTGCATCTCTTGCTTTGACAGAATTTTGTGGGTTTATCGGTTGCTGATGGATACATAGCATGTGGTTCAGAAACAAATGAGGTATATATATTTAATTTACATTAAACATTTTTTCTATTGGTCATAACTTTATCATAAAAAATCATTAAAATTAATATTTTGGTTAGCAAGAAATAACCCTGCATAAATGTCTTGTTTGTTTATAAAGTTTATGATGATAACTGGTGCTCAAATCATTCTCAACTGTTAAATTGAACAATTTTTTGGAGGATCATTACCAGGATTAAATAGGCAGTGCGGTCTAGGCTATGCTAGGCTAAGTCATTAATGTTAGGCTTATCAGTTATATAAATCTATACATGTATATATATTGTCTTGATACTATGTTTCCTTCCAGGTTTATGCATACTATAGATCTCTCCCCATGCCAATCACCTCGCACAAGTTTGGGTCCTTGGATCCCATATCTGGGAGAGAGACCGATGATGACAATGGTCAGTTTGTTTCGAGTGTGTGTTGGAAGGGCAGTTCAGACATGGTTGTTTCTGCCAATTCTAGCGGGTGTATCAAAGTGTTGCAGATGGTTTAAGTTAGTCCTAGATGAAGGCTGGCTTCCAACTGGGGATTCCTTCCCACCCTTTCACCCTTGGCCCTCTCAAGCCGATACCTCCTAATCGCCAGGAGCTTATTAAGATCGTATAGACATCTCGAGCTCTGGCTAAGTTTTGATGTTTGAGTTTCAGCTATGAAAGATTGGATGGAGGAAGAAGAGATTGCAAATCGACTCCAGTTCTAATTTGAACATTGGATACAACACGACGAAGCTCCGGCTTTCAACCAGAAACTTTGGTGTTCTGTTGTGGAGAATGCCTGTCAGAATGTGCAATATCTGGAGGATCAATCTTAGAACGGGGAAGCCTATTCAAGAAAAAAAAAGATGGGTTTTGAAGTATAAAATATTAGAAACTTTTTCTCCAGAAGTTTCTAGTGTCCTTAAGTTAATGTGGTATATAACTATCCATTATTTTTGGAGGCCAACCTTTCCCAATTTATTAAAGTAGTTTGACACTGATCCTTAAGTTTTGTCTAAGGATAAAATTTAAACGGATTGGGAAAGGTTATTCTCTTTTATAAAATTAATGGATACTGTATTAATTTTGACTTGAGAATGTTAAAAGCTTTTCAAAAAAAGTTTTTGAATATTTTTACAGCTTGAACCCAAAGATTATGACAGCAAAATGAAATTTGCTGTTTCTGAGTTGTTTTGAAGTGTGAAGAATCCGACTAGAAGAATCTAGCTCGCTTTATATGCAAGTGTTTGTAGGAGCCAACTGGAAGTAGTTGTACAGCGGTCCTTTTCATGGTTTTTTAAATGAAGGACTTGCAATTTTAGGCTTGTTGTCGTGAAGATGTTTGGTCAGCAACGCAAGGCATGACTATTATAACTTTAAAGGAGAAGCTTCTAGAAAGTTGATATCATACTCTAGGCTAAATATTTGTGTATAGCATGACTATGTTTGACCATTGAATAAACATTGAAGATGTTTTACAAATGATGGCACGTTTGTGTAGCTGTGTGAAGTTTTCATCAAACGGTTCCAGGAAAAGCTCGTGCAATATGAAAGGTGCATCATATTTTTACTTAAAAAAAAAAATGTTCAGATGTGCTATACGGATTATTCAGATTGATTTTTTTTTAATTAATTCTGATTCTGATGTTGATTGATTTTTTAATGTCTAAACAAAAAATGGGAACAAATATCCAAAGGAAGAATGATATTAAAGTCTTGAGCCAATAAATTTATGACAGTTAGACTTTTGATGAAACTTTTTGAAAAATCAGTTATAAATATTGATTCTACATGAGTTCTAACTACAAATAAATAAAACATTTAAATTTTAAATAAAACTTAGTTTATAATTGGGATTCCTATTTTAATTGTTTAAAGCAATATTATAATTTATTTTTAAAAATTTTTGTTTGGAACTCAGTTGTCATAAATTTCTTTGGGACTTTATTTTCATTCTTCCAAATAAAAATTTCCAAAATGATTTTTTTTTTTTTGGGTCAGCGGCCAAATTGAAATTTGAATTCACAAGGCAGAGTGTAGCTTGATTATGACATCCTAAATTAGTACATTCCTAAATTTTGGAGAATACTAAATTAGGACTTTTTATTGGTCGAACGGTGCTTATGATTACATGATTTGAATCATGATCATTACGTTCGGAAGATTAAAATTAATAATAGTTGGATTTTTGACAGGCTTTTAAAAAATAAGTTAAAATATTAATTTAAATGATTGTTTTAAGATTTTTAATTTTAGATAAAGCACTTAAATTTTAAATGTAACTTTATATTATAAATGAGACTCCTGTTCGCATTGTATAAATTGATATTTGTAATTTATTTTTTTAAAAATTTTATTTAGAGCATTATTGTTATCAATTCAATATCTTTTAAGATATTAATTTAAATGATTGCAAATTTAAGATTTTTCATTTTAGATAAAGTACTTAAGTTTTAAATGTAACTTTATATTATAAATGAGATTCCTGTTCGCATTGTCTAAATTGAAATTTGTAATTTATTTTTCTCAAAAATTTATTTAGAACATAATTGTTATCAATTTAATATCTTTTAAAACTTAACTATCATTCTTCCTAAAAGTTTAGTTTACATTTATAATTGTTTAACCAAGCTCTTCTGCCTCTGTCGTCTTCACTTCACCAATTCTTAAAATCTCAATTACCAAATCGATCGTGAATGCATTTCACTCCTCTCCTTAAGCCACCAATTTCAATTATGTGCGCCCTCAACTTGTAATTCTCTATATTTTTTATTAAAAAAAGTAAAATTATTATCAAGTCCCACATAATGATTTTAATTACCTTAAAATCTTATGAAATATACAAAGTACTACCAAGTTTTAAATCTCTTAATTCTAAATAATTTTTTTTGTTTTATTAAATATAACTCATTTACTATTAGTCACCAGAGATACTGAAGCACTTATCGGCAACAATGGGTTAATTTTGGGAAGGGTGATCTTGAGAGGAGAAGAACCAAATGCCACATGGTTCCTAAAATTGGGCCATTTATACTTGACATAATAATGCAAAATAATATATATATATATATATATATATAATAACTTCTGTCGAGAATAAAAATGACAACTTTAATATGAAAAAATAATAACTTGAATTTAAATAAATAACAACTTAGACATAGAAAATGAAAACTTTAATTTTAACTTTCAATTTTTAACTAATAAATTCATTTTTTAATAGTGACAATTAATAAATTATCTTTATTTTTAATTCCGTATTTAAAAAATAAAAATTTATTTTAAAATATAAAAAATAATTATTATTGAATTTGGATTGTTCAGATTTTAAATGGGTGCTCATCGCATTAGTGATTGGCACTTGGTGACGCATACAATGAAGTACAACAATACAAGAAAATTAAATATATAGGGCAAATTTACAAGTTTATTCATTCTTTTTTTATTTTATAACCTCAACTCTCTTCATTCAAATACCAAGCTGGAAAGAAGCTGCATCATGTTTCGGAAAATGGACATACTCAACTGGTTACATGCACTATTGAATTATTTTTTTTTAAAAAAATTACTTGGTGGAGCGCTATTACCACTCAAACTTCAAGCGAGCTTCGGAATTTGTGAACAGTGATGAAGTCTTCAATCATAATCTTTCAAGTTTTAGGTGCACTACAGATTGGATTTTAATTTTTTTAGGATTTGAAAAAAAAAGGTATACAATTTCATGACATATTCACATTTAAATATCAGTTTATAGTTTGCACAACAATTTTTCAACATGTAAAATGATGTGGCGTTGGTATTCCGTGCATCGCGCGCTCATCACATGTGGCTCAATCTATGCATTCCATTGTCACTTTGAAATGATTTATACCATTCATTTAAATTAATTTTAATTTTTTTAAATATTTTGTTTATTAATATAAAAAATTATAAAAAGAAATTTAATATTAAATCTGAACTATTTAAAATATATCTAATTGATCAATTTATAAAATTTTTATATTTAATTGAGTTATCCAAAATATATCTAAACTATCCAAAATACATCAAAATAATCAAATTATAAAATTATAATTTTTTTTAATTTGACCATCCAGATCAAATCTATACTGACCAGGTTAATAATGAACATATTTATTAATTTTTTTACATTTTTATAAGTTTTTATTCTAATAAATGTCGAACAAAAATAAAAATTTTTAAATTTAGATAATCCAAGTCTCATCTGATAAACACTGAAGACAATCCAGATTTAATATTTAAATTTATTATAATTTTTATATTAATAAACATAATATTTAAAAATACTTGAAATTTAATTTAAATGAATGAAAGAAATCATTTCAAAGTGAAATAAAAAGCTCCAATTGAGCCACCATGATGAGTACGCGGTGCACCAATACGGACGAGTTAATGTGGATGCACTAGGTATGGGCTTTACAATGAAAATTGGCAACCAAACGGCTAGCCGGTGAGAATTGTATCCGGATTAAATATAAACCCTCTACATGTAATTGAACCAAACGGTCAAAAAATGCTTAATATTTTCACATCCCTGCTTCAAAACTTTTCGTTCACACCTCAGCGATAGCCTACATTATTTGTCTCGTTGGCTAGAACTTAGCTATGCTGTGTTCATCAACTGATTTTTTATCACAGATGGAAAGCTGAGGTTACTAATAAATTTACAAAGATCCTGGCGTAAAATAAGAGTTACATGCAATAGTAAATTGTGTGCAAATGAAATTGTGCAAGTAGTATATATCTTGTCACGTGGATAAACTACGAGCAGTTAATTTAAACAGTACGGTACACGAAATGTTTGTCCACCTCAACTTCAACTTCAGGCTCAAATCCACAAGTACAAATTTTAAGCTTCAAATCTTTCTGTCTTGAAATGAGATTTAAAATGGGAAAGAATCAGTTATACCAGTTAAAAGTCAAGCCTTCTTGTTGCTCTGCTTTGTTTGCTGTTGCTCCTGTTCAGCCAGGGAAAACTTCTTCACTCTCTGTTGAGGCAGGGAAAGAAAACACAACTTAACATAAAAAGAAAGCACAAGTGGCAAACGTATTTTAAAAACTTGCGCACGTGAATGCAGAAAAAGGTTGTATTAAGTTGAAAGACATAATCAAGGCTATAAAGAATTAAATTTAAAGTTCATTTATATTATTGTTAAAGAAAAGTTCATGTTTCTGTTGCATCAAGAGAGGATAACTTGATTGAATAAAGAGCTATTCACACCATGGTACAGATTCATTGCTTTGAGCTACTAACATTGCAGCCACTAATCATACCATAGAGGGCCCAGCTTTTAATTCTGATCTAGAATTTCGTGTTCTAAACTTCCATTCACAAATATTTTCCAACTCAAAATCATCTTCTAAGGTTCTCTAAATGAAGGATAAATATAAGCTATAAATTTTACAAGAAGTCTATGTCCACTGCTCATAGAAAAAATGCAATAGCTTTGTAAAAGAAGTAAGTTTTCTCACTGAACTAAAACAGGGAATTTTATTCTTTCATTAGACTTGAGGGAAAATTCTTGGTAAGAAAAACTAAATTACAGAGGTTAGTAAAACACCGAGATATTTAGTCTATAATTTAAAAACATAGAGAAATAAAAAGTATCCAAATAAAATAAAAGTCTTGTATAGCACATGTGATAATCTGAACTTTCAATGAAGGAAATAGTAAATATATTATAAGATGAGATGTGATTATAAGGCTTTAATGAAAGAAGTAGACCATAAAGGAAATAACTGAGTGCATGCAAACCCACTCTTGTCCAAAAGCATGTTAGGCAATGTTTGGTATCTTGAGTCCATTACGATCAGATTTTACAATGTAGAAATGAGGAACTATCTATTTTTTTTAACCTTTCTTACAACTTGATTCACTTTCATACATGGAGAACGATCTCTCACAGAAACAAATGAAATATTAAGAGAAAATGAAAATATAGAATCATTGGTTGTAGTTCAGTAATTCATATGGCAATATTGAATTGATTTGCATACACAACTCATGAAGTGCTTGAAATTATGTTAAAGATTTCTAGTTCAAGAACAAAAGGAAGGCTGACAAATTAACTAGTGAACTTGGCTACACAGCAAAATATTACAGAGATGCTTATGATTATATCAAACGACCAAGTAGTTTTCTGAGGTGTAAACCAGCCTTTTTTTCCTTGCAAATTATTTGATATTATAGCATATGAAGTCTAGTGAGAAGATATTTAAAACTATTCCATGGTTCAACAATCACCTAAACAGTTTTTGAACAGGATATCAACGAATAGGATGAGAAAAGAACTTTGTGACTGCATTAATTGGCAGGTAAAAACACATTTAAGACTATATTAAGGAAAATACACAAAAGGAAGAGCCCATTTAACCGACAGAAATAATATATATATATATATATAGCACTTGAGTAACTAGGATTGGCTCCAGCAACAACTAGTGCAGGGTAGACATTGACA